CCGAGACCTCACTTGCATACAGTACAATTACTTTCACTTCCCATCTCTTAGCGAAACTCTCTTCAGTAAGCACTATAATAATTTTTATTAATAATACCTGTTGTAATTTACGTGATTTTCTAAATACAACAGAATTTAAGTAGGTGTGTGTTCGCTCAACAAAAAATCATGCATTCGTACACTAGAAGGGATTGGGGGGGGGTAGGTTGAGGGATGGGGGAGGGGGTGGGGTGGTGAATTACATTTGCTATATCTACAACTACAATGTACAGGTGCATGATAGTCATTTGATGAGAGTATGGACGATCTCGAGCTAACTAGGCTCCTTAAAGTCTACGGAACTATACTTCGCTACCACAACAGGACAAGGTGTGTCGCAACCATTATCACTGAGGAGCGGTAGTACTTAGTATATAGTGATGGGGATGGTTACCTAGCTCATAAGATTATGGTGTGCTATGATAGGTATCATCTACACATTTAGTTTTATGTCCCCTTCTGTTTCTAACGAAAATGTCAGAGTCGTGTGTAGAGTCGTAAATCAACTGAAGTTAAACCCCGCAAATTTTTGATGTTTGTGAAATTTGCATCCTGAAAAATTTTACACTCTGCTGTTTTTTCTCTTCCTCTTTATTTTTAACCGTACCGCCTTCCTTTTTTTTTTACACACACGCGCTCCATCACATGTCCCACCACATCTCTTGTCCGCATTTGAAGAAAACGTCGACAATGAAACAGCCAACCAGGCTGTAACCGAACTGCCATAATCTACGAGCAAACCCTAACCAAACGGACGTCAAACCACCTTCTGCTCTCTTCTCTGCCATGCGCTCTCAACCTCCATTCAGCCACCGTTGCGTGGCGTACTGAACGGGACTGGAAATGGACACGGCATACGAGCCGCTATTTAGCTGTCGACTTACTGGCCGAGCTGGGGTGTACCACAAGACATGAAAAAACAACGAAGGACATCGACAAGTGAATAATATCCTCCGAATTACCACTGCAACCATGAGGCGGGTCTTGAATTTGAGTGATTTTGAAGATATTTCAACTTGAATGTAGATTGGTTTTCGCTACCTTTGCTAAAATAGAGAAGGCTCTACTTCTTCATGCTAGAGTCAACTCAAACTGCCCTGGCGCTGGAATTTCCTAGTTTCATGGATCTCTTGTGCTCTCTTCCTTCCTCCCTCCCTCCTCTCTCCTCCCTCTTCCTCTCCCTCACGCCCTCTTCCCTTACTCCTCTCTCTCCTTCCTCTCCCTCCCTCATCTCTTCTCCCTCTCTTTCCATTTTCAGTGAACGGAAAGTTACTTTCAGAATTCATCTATCAAGAAGAGTATCTCAGCCAAATGAACCTAACATCCAACAGTGTACCTGCTTACTCTACTTGAATGGCCAATTGTTGGATGGCAGACTACACTGAAAATATCACTGAATAATGCTGAAAGTAGAGTAGTTTTGTACAATTGCACTGGAGGAACCCTCCGAATAAAAGGACACGTGGGACCATCACGATAATGCTTTTATTCAGAGGCGTTCTTTAGTAAGAGGTCAACCCCTTTTTTACACGGCTTACAACATTGAAATTGAACTCCGCTTGTTGTAACTAAAACCCCTAAGTGTCATTTAAAAAAGGCCTAATAATACGTATTATGCACACAATTGAAACACTAGAGAGAGCGAGGTGGGCTTTATTTTAGAAATGTCCGTTACACAAGAGTTGCTTGTCCATCTTTTGTTGTAGGTTCATTTTCTTTGTGGTGAAGGGACTTGTCAAGAAACCAAAGGGACCTATCGTTTGCCTCCGTTGCCTGGGAAACAACTGCTGATGGCCCGGTTACTGGACCATGCAGCTTTTGTTCCAACGTTACCGACAACAATAATCGGATACGGACTCGCACCCCCCCCCCCCACCTAAAAAAAAAAAAAAAAAAAAAAAACCTACCACCGAACCCCCCCCCACCGCACCCCCAACCCCCCCCCCCCCGACCCCCCCGCCCCGCCCAACCCCCCCCAGGGCCCTCGCCCCCCCCCCTCCCCAGCCCCCGCCACAGCCCCCCTACCCCACACCCCCCCTCCCCCCCCCCCGGGGGGGGCCCTCCCCATCACCCCCGCCCCCCCCCCCCCCATACCGAATCGTCCCACGCGCCCCCCCCCCTCCAAGGACCCCGCGCACCCACCCCTGCAAGCCCACAGCCCCAGCCCGCCCTCCCAAAAATCCTCCAGTTGGGCCGGAGGCCCCCCACCCCCCCTCGCCCTCCCTCCCCCTCGCGCCGCACCCCCCCACCCGCATAGGCCCCCGCAATACACCCGCCATCCAAAGAATGGAAGCCACCCACGCCACCATCTCAAGACTCTGCCCCCCCAAAGTGGGAAGACGACTAAACAACAGGAGAAGAAGCCGGCGAGGGGGCAGCGACCCCGCATCCCAGCCCCCACGGCCCGGCGCCCCCCCCCTAAAACCACCGACTCCTCCCCGCTCCCACGCCCCCTGCACCACCCGACCCACCCCCGTCCCAGCCCTCTATAGGACTAACATCGCCTCTCAAGAGAACAGTTCATGGTCACCTATTGTTGAGAAGAGGGTAACTTATTACTTTTTGTGGATTTTCTTTGTGGGAAAGGAAGGTTGATAGTATGTGTGAGAAGTATTATAGCTTAATATTTTAATTGTAGGATTTATTTGAGGCCCAATTTATCTGGGTTCATCTACGAGCGTAACACTAATCAGCATGGGATCACATAATGTGTCCAGACCTCCATAGTCATAAGAATTTATATCGGGGTTCTATATATACTAGGCGCTACATACTTCAAACGTTAAAATTCTGGACTAGATACCATGGTGTCCTATGGTTTAATTTAAAGCTTAATTTTTACCCTAAGTCGTAAAAGTTTGTTCCTTTCTCTCCCATAATTCGAACGTCAATCTCATTTTCTCGACATTTGACGTTCGTCTCTGTCCCTATTTCTCTCTCCATTCAGAGTCTATTCTACCGTTCTCCATACCGTTCTACTGTATCGTACTCGTGTGTCACTCAGACAGGACAATGACTGTGGCTGCACAGGGGAACGCTCAACAGATCGCGTGCCGGACTTAACTAACCTTTCAAATTTCAACGCCAGCAGCGATGTATCGATACTCTTGCTGTTGCGACGCCCGTGCTTTCAGTTCGTTGGATTTCAAGTCAGTTTGACTATGTTGAACCCTCTAATAATCACATCCCGGAGCACGATATGACTATGAAAAAAGAGTGTCCATTCTACTGAGTTTTGTCACTTATTGTCAGGGTTACATGCACGCAAGACTGTTCTCGGGGTAACAAAGGTGTCCTTATTATAGGGAGGTGTCCCTTATTTCAGGCAATGCAAGAACTGTTCTTGGGGTAAGAAAAGTGTGTCCTTCATTAGAGAGGTGTCCTTTTCAAGGCCTCAGAACTGTTCTTGGGGTAGAACTGTCCTTATTAGAGGGTGTCCTTATTTCAAGGCATCAGAACTGTTTTCTTGGGAAAGAAACGGTGTCCTTATTAGAGCGGTGTCCGTCATTTCAGGTCCACTGCATATATACAAAACGTAAGGGCTCTAGAATTTGTATATATAAAGATGTGCTAAGTCTATTTGCAGACGTACGGTGGAACTTTCAATACCTTGTCCTTTGTACAGACTGTATAATAATGGTAGCCACATTTACAGCTTGCCTGCCACTAAACTCTGTTTTTTTGCACACTTTTTCATGTACTCTTTCTTCTCAACTCTAGTCCAGTCATACGGCAATGTGTATGGAGCCCGCAATGAAACGAGGTTTCTTGCCTTCAGCACCGTCTACGATTGTGAGGGCTACTTCGACGTCGCCAGCTGGATGGGAACGTTCGTGACCGTCATCTTCATCATCGTGCTCTATTTCGCAATACTCGCCCTGTTCTCCACGCAGACTGTCGACCGATTCGACGATCCAAGAAGTCGTACGATATCAGTCGAAAATCTCCACTAGAACTATACAATTATACTACTTGTATACTAGGGATTATATATACCCATATATGAGTGCCCGATTTTTGACGTTTTGGAAGTTGTGTGTGTTCTACTCCGTTTATGCATGGATTTTTCGTTTTTGTTGAGATGATGTGTAATTTTTAGCCATTGCGTAATGATGTGCTGCTTCCACTATAGCGCGTGCCCGGTCGCGCGCGAAAATAAACAGACGTTTTACGGAGAGCGTGCGCGGTGTTGAATACGTGGGCGAGGTCAGAGTTCATTTGTGGAAGTCACGCACGCGCACGGGAAGTATATAGCGTGCGGGTGTTTAAAGGTCACAGACTTTAATATTATATCAGTAGAATGCAGTGTAATAAGAAGACTAGGCAATTAGAGTGATACAAGGTGTGTTTCCGAGATTATCAAATCAACCGCCATGGGCATTCTGATGGCATGTCCGCATGATGAGCGTACAAAGGTGGGCGCCTAGCGTAAAAGGCTCATCCTGTCTTCTGTTGTGAGAAAGAAAGACAGTAATGGCTGATACTAGTGGTGAAGTGCAACTGGACAACATCTCGGACGACGGCAGTACGGAGAACGAAACCCAGTCCCTCGTTCCCGCACCGTAAGTCGTCTCTCTGCCGCTCGGTTCTGTAAAACAAACCCTTGGGATATTACTCGGGGCTTTAGAAGCTCACTGTGGACCCTCATTGTGATTTTTGGTACCTATTTACTACTTTATGGACAGTTTTATACAACGTAGAACATGTAGTAATGGCTGACTTTCAGCTTGTTGAAGTCTCAAGGACACCCTGACACCTTTTATTTCCCCAACAACAGATCTTGCAACCTCTGAAATAAGGACACTTTGCTATCCTATTGGTGTCCGGATTAGAGGGGTTCCACTGTATAAAAATTTGGCAATTGTACTTTTTTTGCAGTGAACGTAACATCCACATCAGGAGGGAGCCTCAAAACGAGAGACATTTCGAGGCTGGCTATGTTCGCGTCGTCAGGCGACGCACGTTTCGAGACTACCTACCTCCGGAACCAGTACGGAGCGCGCTCATCCCACCACGAACGAGGTGGGAGTGGCTTGATTTCCTCCTCGTTCACGTCCCGATCGTTAGCTGGTTGCTAAGCTACCGGCCTTCGTTTCTCATCAACGACATTGTATCCGGGGTTACAGTTGCTATCATGCACATCCCTCAAGGTATGATGGTAGGGTCTCTATCTGCATATCATCTTATCGTAAAGAATGTTACACATTATGCGTATATATTATACTGTATATTATTATATCCGTCATGTTGAGTTAGTGTTCATGTTGGCTGCAATTGGAATAAATCAGGCCCACCAATTATGCTTTACATAGCGCATGAAAATTACAATAGCATTAACTCGGCAAGTTTAAGGATGCTCTCTAAAGCAAGTATTAATAGCTTTATTCTCCCTCTCTCTCTCCTCTCTCCTTTCTCTCCTCCGTCTGAATTCCACAATCATGTTTTACGTAACGTCTGCACTGGAATTTCGCTCTCCAGGATATTACTCATAAGCTCTCTAAAGGAAGTATCAGTTGCTTAATTCTCTGTATCTCCCTCTCTCCTCCTCCTCCCTCTCTCTCCTCCTCCCCCCTCTCTCTCCTCCTCCTCCTCCCTCTCTCTCCTCCTCCTCCTCCTCTCTCCTCCTCCCTCCTCCCTCTCTCTCCTCCTCCTCCTCCCTCTCTCTCCTCCTCCTCCTCCCTCTCTCTCCTCCTCCTCCTCCCTCTCTCTCCTCTTCCTCCCTCTCTCTCTCTCATCCTCCTCCCTCTCTCTCCTCCTCCTCCTCCTCCTCCCTCTCTCTCCTCCTCCTCCTCCCTCTCTCTCCTCCTCCTCCTCCTCCTCCTCCCTCTCTCTCCTCCTCCTCCCTCTCTCTCCTCCTCCTCCTCCCCCTCTCTCCTCCTCCTCCCTCTCTCTCCTCCTCCCCTCTCTCTCCCTGTATGTACACACAGGTCTAGCGTATGCTCTCCTAGCTGATCTACCAGCAGTCTATGGTCTGTATGCATCCTTCGTACCAGCCATTATATACTCTGTACTCGGAACCTCCAAACACATATCTGTTGGTAAGAAAACTACATACAATATCCAACACTATACTATGTATGTGCAAAAATAATACAGCACTTTCGAGTGGCATTCTGGATACCGCTAATTGCATAAGAAATTTCCTTGTTTAGTATGGTGTGGGTGGCTTGGTTTCAATATCCTTTACATAAGGTGTCAATCTTTCACTTTCACTAGCCATACATAAATAATTATAGTGAAGCCTCCGAAAAAGGACATCTCTCTTTAAGGGACATTATGGTTCTGCCCCGTGTATTATAGTAATACTACCTCCGAATAAGGGACACCTGAATAAAGGGTGGCTCTAAATAGAGGACACGTGAACTCTCCCAAAGGTGTCTCTTATTCAGAGAAAAAACCTGTTTATAGCATACTAGCTAATATTGTGAGAGGAAAAGAAAGAACCTTAACCCACCGCACCGATTGACTGATGCTCACATATACTTGACATGCTGTTGTGGTGTTTTTGTTTCGATCGTTGGCAGCAGCCTTGAGGAGAGGCCTATGATGTAATAACGACGTAATCTCTCCCCCCCCCAATTACCACAGGGACGTTTGCAGTGGTACAGTTGATGATTGGTAACATCATAGAAAAGACTTTTTCGTCAGACGCACGACTCAGTATCTGCCATGGTTTAACTGGTGGCTCAGATGGTAGTAAGTTAATAGCTAATGTTGTGTGTACTGTGGCTATATACAAGTGCAATGGGGACACCTCTCTAATAAGGACACCCCTGAAATGGGGACACCTCTCTAATAAGGACACCCCTGAAATGAGGACACCTCTCTAATAAGGACATCCCTGAAATGAGGACACCTCTCTAATAAGGACACCTTTTCCTTTACCCACGAACTGTTCTTGCATGCATTTTCTGTTCTTGCATGCATTTTCTGTTCTTGCATGCATTTTAACCCCTGAAATAAGTCACTTCTCTAATAGAGAAACACTTTCTTCTGTCCCATTGGTGTCAGGATTAGAGGTGTTCCACTGTATAATGCTCAGGACACCTCACTAATATGTCCCCTGAAATAAGCGCACCTCACTAATATGGACACTTTCTTCTGTCCCATTGGTGTCTGTGTTAGAGGTGTTCCACTGTATTGTGTACTGTTATCATTGGCAGCAGGTTCAGGTTCCGGACTGGGTCTGGGAGGTTCCAGTGATGATGTAACTGACGGTAACATCACTGCCTCTGACGTGGACTGTGACTCTGAGAGAGTCAGCATCGCCATCACCATCGCCTTGGTTTCGGGAACGATCATGGTGCGTCTGATAGAACCTCTGCGACCAGGATACCATTTCAAACCTCTCTTTTTCTCTCTCCCATGATTAATCTTTGCTCTTTTTCCCCCTCTTTCTCCTCCCTCTATCCTTTCTCACCTTACCCTCGCTTTCCCTCCAACCTTCCTTCTTTCCTTCTTCTCTTCTTCCTTTTCTATCCCTTCTTCTCTCCTCTTCCTACTGTTCCTACTGACACCCTCCCTTCCTTCTCTACTTCTCCTATTCCATCTCTTTCCCTCCCTCCCTCCCTCTCCCTCCCTCCCTACAGCTGATAATGGGTGTGCTCCAATTAGGGTTCATCACCATCTTCCTCTCGGAGTCCCTCGTATCAGGCTACACCACGGGCGCTGCAGTTCTCGTCTTCACTTCACAACTCACTCACATTCTTGGCATCAGTAACAAGGTCCCCCCTGGATTGTGGCAGGTCCCTCGAGTGAGTGGGCCCCTTCAATTACATCATGACCCCTTAGATTGATGTTTTAAGTAAACCCTCAATTCTATGGATAATGGCAGGTCCCTCTAGTGAGTCAGAACCCTTCAATTAGGACCCCCTACTTTGAATAAGGGATGCCTCTTGAAGTAAGGACACTTGCAATGTCCCCTTCTGTATGTATGTATGTATAATGGACGTGCTGAAGTGAATGCATAATATAAAACACAGCTCAAAGTTAAAATACTGTTTTTTTCTCCCTCTTTCGTATACCTTATATAGACTTGGGTGAAATCGTTCAGTATTATTAACACAACCAACGTTGCGACGCTAATCATAGCGGTGGTCGCCATGGCAGCACTGATCGGATTAACATTGCTGAACAAATGGCTGAAGAAGAAAAAGTTTCCAACGGTCAAGTATTCTCGTCAGCAGAGGAAATTCAGTGTGAAATGGGTTAAATGGACAATCCCCATTCCAGCTCCTTTGGTTGTGGTGAGTTAAAGTACAGTATGTATATAGGTGGTGGGAGGAATTTTAGGAAGAAGCTTTGTGGATGAATTTCATGAGGTACAGTGGAACCTCTCTCTAATAAGGACACCCCTGAAATGAGGACACCTCACTCTAAGGACACCCCTGAAATGAGGACACCTCTCTAATAAGGACACCCCTGAAATGAGGACACCTCTCTAATAAGGACACCCCTGAAATGAGGACACCTCTCTCTAAGGACACCCCTGAAATGAGGACACCTCTCTAATAAGGACACCCCTGAAATGAGGACACCTCTCTAATAAGGACACCCCTGAAATGAGGACACCTCTCTAATAAGGACACCCCTGAAATGAGGACACCTCTCTCTAAGGACACCCCTGAAATGAGGACACCTCTCTAATAAGGACACCCCTGAAATGAGGACACCTCTCTAATAAGGACACCCTGAAATGAGGACACCTCTCTAATAAGGACACCTTTTCTTTCCCCAAGAACAGTTCTTGCATGAAATTCAACCCCTGAAATGAGGACACCTCTCTAATAAGGACACCTTTTCTTTCCCCAAGAACAGTTCTTGCATGAAATTCAACCCCTGAAATGAGGACACCTCTCTAATAAGGACACCTTTTCTTTCCCCAAGAACAGTTCTTGCATGCAATTCAACCCCTGAAATAAGAACACTGCACTACACTTTCCTCTGTTCCTCTTGATATTCTTACGATTGAAAATTTATACCCATGCTGGTTCGTGCATTCACACTTCCTTCTCTCCCCCCATCTGCCCCTCCTCCATTCAGCTGATATTGGCTACCCTTATCTCATTCCTCGGATCATTTGAGAGGAATTTCGACGTCATCATTGTAGGGGACATACCTCAAGGGTAAATAGTATAGCTTGCCAACATGTGCATCAATACTGTACCTCTCTCAAACGTACTAGTAAATTTGCACCCTCCTTTATGCATCGTTGAGAAATTACACAGACACGACTACACATCGTTCAAAATTTTACTACATAGCTGGTTTGTAACAGAATCTGGTTAGTTTTTATTGATCACTTTCACTTTTCATGTTTGCGACCCAATAATAAGCACACTCACCGGCTAGCTCTTATTGTGTTTCGACTTTTAACCGGTGTCTGATCTGCACACCGTACAGGGCACCGCCTGTCACCAATCCATTCTCCTCCCACCTCACATCCTCCCTCGTTATCGACTCTTTCATCGTTGCTATCGTGGCTTACAGCGTGTCCGTGTCTTTGGCGAGGAAGTTTGCCGTGGAGCACGACTATACCATACACTCCAACCAGGTTCCTCTTTCTTTCTCTCGTTTCCTTTCTTTGTTCCGTTTAGTAAGTGCTAAGTCCACCACTTTATTTCAGGTATTGTTCAGGTATTGGTTTTTTTTACTGCATTTTTGAGGTCTTGTTGAGGAAATCAGAACTGTTAGTTTGCCTCTCTTTCCATTCATTTGCTTGCTAAAAGTACGAAAAATCTCCAGCTGTAGTCAAGGTATTGAGGATGGTTAGTTGG